CAAAACAAATACACTTTTGCACACTGGTACTGACTAGTATTCCAATGTTTCTCTTCTCCCTCAGTTTTTCACCATCACTGAACTAATGTGACCCCAGCACTGATGGAGAGGGGCAGGGGAGGGTCAAACTAGGATGCTGTGCAGGCAGCTGACATCCCCCTTATCAACTGATGATATCATTGGTTGTCAGGACGCCGGAGGCTAGTAGGTCGTAATGGTGCACAATGAAAACCTGTGGCTTTATGTAACTAAAAGGCAGGCTTGTTCCACCTGCTGGCTTGAATACAAGTTTTGGGCAATTTTTTAGACATTCTGCCAAGGCACCCCTGAGGAAACCTCAAGGCGCCTGGGAACCCTGGTTGAGAAAGTCTGGCCTAAACAGTCCTGTGCCTGCAGCCTATAACTGTATATATCTGCAGTGTGAGATCTAAGGCACTACTGCCTCTGACTGCTGGTCTCAGGAGATTTGGTAATGTCTACTTCTACTGTGCTGCTCACTGTTCTCCTTGCTGGAGGCTCTGACATGAGGAAGCAAAGCTCTGCCTCTACCAAGATGTCCACCTCCACACAGAGACGCAGTGCAGAAAGAGGCACTGTAAGCCAGTAGTAGGAAAAGATCAGCTGCGGGTAGACCACAGGCAGCACTGGTGACAAGACCAGGTCCTTTGGGCACAGCTTCTAGCAGTTCCTCTTTAACAAAATAACAACAACATAAAAAAGCAGAAATTTGGAAAATGTGAAGGGCAGGACAAAATGACTTTAAAGGTAAGAGCTGTAATAATAAATCAATGTATTTGCGGATTGGAGAAATAGCAGCAGCTTGTCTCTTTCTCTGAAGAGGAAGTCATCGGCCCCCAAATAAACTTATCATTGGGTTCATAGTGTTCCCGGGCAAACTTTAACAATTCTCTTCGTTCTTTCTTGTCCCTCACAGAGAAAATGAAGTAATCTAACACGCTCCTTTTTACATTCTGCAAGATGCCATGTTGTAAGGTTTCCTCCAGAAAAAAACGGATGAGAGGCACCTGGTAGTGTTCAAAACCCATTTCCCCCAAACACATGAGGATTCGTGCGATTCGATTGTTGTTGTGGCTGTTTCTACAGGAATAGAGAGAAGGGAAGGTATATTAGCCACACATTGTCTGCTTAAAGGCGTTCTATGGTCACGGCATGCTCTTTCATTTTATAACATCAGCATTATAATAACAATACAGAATACAGATCATGTGATAATCCAATAAAAGCTTACTTGAAAAATCTCATTCATGTTATGAGTTCTGCCTGTTTGCTAGATGTCTCTTTCCACAACTTCCTGGATTCCCTGCATGCTTTGCAGCTTCCCCTCTGCTGTTTACTTTCAATTTCTAAGCACTACATATCCCATGGTGTCTGCAAGCAGCGATTCCTGTACTGACTCCTCCTGAAACTCCATTCAGCACCTCTGTAGCTCAAAAGGCAGGCTCTGTGAATTTTGTGACACAGCACAGTGCCTACTCAAAGGACATAGTGACTACGGGTCACAGAATTCAAGGAAGTAAAAGTGTGGGGGTCTTCTTAAACTTTAAAAACTTCAAAACTGTTCAGATTATTTTCAAGAAAGGAATGAGGAAATTATTATTATTATTATACAGGATTTATATATCGCCAATAGTTTTCTCAGCGCTTTACAGTATAATGGGAGACAATACAGTTCAATACAAGAGGGTTAAGAGGGCCCTGCTCCTTGGAGCTTACAATCTAAGAGGGGGGCTAGTGGTACAAAAGGTAGTAACTGTGGGGGATGGACTGGTAGAAGGAATAGAAGATTCCATTATTAGCTGAGGACAGGATAGGCTTCTCTGAAGAGATAGGTTTTCAGAGATCGCCTAAAAGTGAGCAGAGTAGGTGATAGTCTGATAAATTGGGGTAGAGAGTTCCAGATGATGGGGGATGCTCTGGAGAAGTCCTAGAGATGAGCATGGGAGGAGGAGACAAGGGAGCTAGAGAGCAGGAGGTCGTGCGAGGAGCGGAGAGTACGGTTTGGGTGATATTTGAAGACAAGATTTGTGATGTAATTTGGGGCAGAGTTATAAATGGCTTTATATGTTGTTAATGTTTTGAATTTTATTCTTTGGGCAATGGGAAGCCAGTGAGGGATTAGCAGAGAGGCATGGAGGACACTGAGTGGAGGGATTGGCAGAGAGGGATGGAGGACACAGAGTGGAGGGATTGGCAGAGAGGGGTGGCAGATATGGAACGGTTAGTAAGGCGGATGTGTCTGGCAGCAGCATTCATGATAGACTGAAGAGGGGATAGTCTGCGATGAGGTCGGCCAATGAGGAGGGAGTTACAATAGTCAAGGAGAGAGATAACAAGGGAGTGAATAAATTGCTTAGTGGTTTCCGAGGTTAGGAACGGGCGTATCTTGGAGATGTTGCGGAGGTGAAGTCTACAAGATTTGGAGAGCGATTGGATTTGGGGCTGAAAGGACAGGTGGGAGTCTAGGATTACACCTAGCACCCTGGCATGAGGGGAGGAACTTATGGTTGTGTTTTTGGATGAATATATGAATATATTATTTTAAATTTTGACCATAGACTTTAAGATCTTACTCATGTTTATGCATGCCAATGCCTGTCAGGCAGCAGCGATGAATAATGATCATGGTTGCAGTGCGTTACAAGCCAGAACGGTGGTACTCATTGGCCGAGCAGAGTGGGGCTTCTGCCATAAATGCAAGAAATTGATAGAACAGAATAAGCTGATTTTGTTTTCTATGAATGCACAAAGACGGAAAAAGTAAATAAATCAAATTTTGGATTCATGGATTCATACAGGCTAATGCCACCTTTCTTTTTTAATAATGTTTATTATGTGGTCCTATTTTACCTACTGTATTTATTGGAAGGAACTAGAGATGCATTCCAAGTTCTAAGCATGTTATGGCTATTATTATGTAGAACTTTAAGATGCAAATCCCATTTTTTAGAGAGGTGTGGCCAGAGGTAGACGGTTTGTCGTGTGAGCTGTCATTTATCTGCTTGCCAGATAAAATTACCTGGATGGTTGAAACATCATTGGTTTGTGGCCCACTCCTACCATTTGAGTCCCATCCTTTAGACAGGTGCATCTAGAATTTTGAAAGCTTCCAATGGCTTCCACCACAGTAAGCTATTAGAAATTCAGCTCAAAAGATACTTTTGTTGTTTTTATCCACAGAAGTTCTAGTCTAGTATTTCTCAACCAGGGTTCTGGGGAACTCTAGGGTTCCTCCAGAGATTGCTAGGGGTTCAGGACAGACTCTCTCAACCAGGGTTTCATGGAACTCTAGGATTCCTCCAGAGATTGCTAGGGGTTCCTTCAGCATTGCTAGGGGTTCAGGACAGCATTTTTCAACTAGGGTTCCTTCATAGGTTGCTAGGGGTTTAGGACAGACTTTCTCAACCAGGGCTCCATGGAACTCTAGGGTTCCTCAAAAGGTTTCTAGGGGTTCATTCAGCATTGCTACGGGTTCAGAAGAGCCTTTCTCAACCAGGGTTCCATGGAAACCTAGGGTTCCTCCAGAGGATGCTAGGGGTTCAGGACAGACTTTCTCAAGCAGGGCTCCATGGAACCCTAGGGTTCCTCCAGAGGTTGATAGGGGTTCAGGAAAGCCTTTCTTAACCAGGATTCCATGGAACCCTAGGGTTCATCCAGAGGTTTCTAGGGGTTCAGGATAGACTTTCTCAATCAGGGCTCCATGGAAAACCTAGGGTTTCTCCAGAAATTGCTAGGGGTTCCTTCAGCATTAATAGGGGTTCAGGACAGTATTTCTTAACTAGGGTTCCTTAATAGGTTGCTAGGGGTTCAGGACAGATTTTCTCAACCAGGGCTCCATGGAACCCTAGGGTTCCTCAAAAGGTTTCTAGGGGTTCATTCAGCATTGCTACAGTTTCAGAAGAGCCTATCTCAACTAGGGCTCCATGGAAACCTAGGGTTCCTCCAGAGGATGCTAGGGGTTCAGAATAGACTTTCTCAAGCAGGGCTCCATGGAACCCTAGGGTTCCTTCAGAGGTTGCTAGGGGTTCAGGACAGCCTTTCTCAACAAGGATTCCATGGAACCCTAGGGTTCCTCCAGAGGTTACGAGGGGTTCAGGAGAGACTTTCTCAACCAGGATTCCATGGAACCGTAGGATTCCTCCAGAAGTTGCTAGGGGTTCAGGACAGACTTTCTCAACCGGGGCTCCATGGAACCCTAAGGTTCCTCCAACGATTGGGGTTCAGAGGCTGCTAGGGGGTCCTTGAGCAATGAGCAACTTCTGCCAATTAGATGAGTAACCACCGACACCAATGATCTTTTAGCTAACTGTGGGATTTTTCCCAATGACTACAAATGTAAGGAGCATTCTTCCCACTGATCATCACACTAATGTACTGTCAGCTGTAGATATAGAATATATAGTAATTACTAGCAGGGTTCCCTGAGACCTGAAAATGATTTCAAGAGTTCCTCTGTGCTTAAAAGTTTGAGAAAGGATGTTTTAGTCTGATTGTCTAATACCCCACAACACCCTACATCCTGACTCATCATCAAATCATAATGGAAATCACTTACCTGTCTAGATTCCTATATCTTTCCTGCCAGTTCTCTGCTTGACCAACCCTTCCGGTACTCTCATCCAATAACTGGAGGCCATAGAATCCTAACATGAGTTTATACGCCTTGCACAGCCTCTTCTTCACATCCTTATCATTCTTCATCATCTAGAAGACAAAGGGTCATCATTAATTACAATGGACAGAAAATAGTGCAGTTCTAGCCAAACTCCAGATATACTCATTTCTTGTTCTGTCTGACACCTTTCACCCAAGCAAGAGGTTAGGAGAAAAATCCTCAATGAAGACACTTGGTAGAGGCTCTAAGTGTTGTTCATTCTATTAGAAAATATAATTTTTTTTTATTTCTATCCCTGTTATATCAGTTATAAAACATTCATTGCTTCCTGCGCCACTGAGTGCAGTTGGGTGGAGATCCCCTTTAATTATATGAGTCTTTCTGCTACCTCAATCTCATCTTCATGTAGAGGAACAGCATGTGGGTTCTTGCCTGGTTGTCGAAGTGGAAAGAGCCTGAAAAAGAACCAGTTCATATTTATTAACACTTTGTGTATCACAATGCCTACCTGTAACAAACTTGCTATGCAATATTCCTTTTTCCAATTATAGTTTTAAATCTGACCTCCGGCCCTCCCTTGCACAGCTGTACCGGCTCCTCTCTTGTACCTAAATGGCTTCCTCTGATTTCACTGCACACTGTTAGCTTTTCACAATGTGCATTAGAAGCTGCAGCAAGCCATACAGAGCCCGTGTCATTTCCTTTAGCCCTTTCCTCCCAAGCTTTACTGTCACTGGCCCGACCCTCCCTCCCTGCATTCACTGTATCTGGTCTCCCAGCTTAGGACCCCCACTGCATTCAACTATATCCGCTCTCCCCTTTGGACCAACCCACTGCATTCAACTATATCTGGTCTCCCCAGGATCACAGCAATGCATTCACTATATCCGCTCCTTGCCACAGAGACCCTGCATTCACTATATCTGGTCTCCCTGGACCCTTAGGTAGGAATCAGGGAGATTCAAACTAAACTATATCCGGTCTCCCTGGACCCTGCATTCACTATATCTGGTCTCCCCGGACCCTGCATTCACTATATCCGCTCTCCCGGACCCTGCATTCACTATATCTGGTCCCCGAACCCTGGACCCCCGACCCTGCATTCACTATATCTGCTCTCCCCGGACCCCATTCACTATATCTGGTCTCCCTGGACCCTAGATTCACTATATCCGGTCTCCCTGGACCCTGCATTCACTATATCTGGTCTCCCCGGACCCTGCATTCACTATATCCGCTCTCCCCGGACCCTGCATTCACTATATCTGGTCTCCCTGGACCCCACATTCACTATATCTGCTCTCCCCGGACCCCACATTCACTATATCTGGTCTCCCTGGACCCTGCATTCACTATATCCGGTCTCCCTGGACCCTGCATTCACTATATCCGCTCTCCCCAGGCCCCGCATTCACTATATCCGCTCTCCCCGGACCCTGCATTCACTATATCTGGTCTCCCTGGACCCTAGATTCACTATATCCGGTCTCCCTGGACCCTGCATTCACTATATCTGGTCTCCCTGGACCCTGCATTCACTATATCCGGTCTCCCCAGACCCTGCATTCACTATATCTGGTCTCCCCGGACCCTGCATTCACTATATCCGCTCTCCCCGGACCCTGCATTCACTATATCTGGTCTCCCTGGACCCCACATTCACTATATCCGCTCTCCCCGGACCCCACATTCACTATATCTGGTCTCCCTGACCCTAGATTCACTATATCCGGTCTCCCTGGACCCTGCATTCACTATATCCGCTCTCCCCGGACCCTGCATTCACTATATCTGGTCTCCCTGGACCCACAGATTCACTATATCCGGTCTCCCTGGACCCTGCATTCACTATATCCGCTCTCCCCGTCCCCGCATTCACTATATCTGCTCTCCCTGGACCCTAGATTCACTATATCCGGTCTCCAGGAAACTGGAGGAAAGGCTATTAAAATAAAGGTTGTTTTTACAATGTATCTCTGATCGCTTAGCTACTTCTGTTACTTCCAATGGGCTTAGCGCCCAACTCACTGGACTGCATGATATGAAATGCACAGAATTATAAAAAAACTAAATCTGGAGTAATTTTACAGTAAAGTATGTAGATGTTCCAGTTTATGGGAAACATCTGAGCGTTTTATGTTTTAATTTTAATCTGATATAGACACCTGAATATTCAATTTAAAAAAATATAAATAAAACAGACAGCATTTTGGGGAGGAATGGGCAGGAGCCAATCAGAACAGTTGTTACACCTACCACTGAATGTAGTAATGGTTCTTCTCTAGTATTTCATACTTATCCTTCCAATCCTCTAGTAGGTCCTCTATGTATAAACCTGAATGTGATGAAAATTACAAGTTCATTTTTTCACCTTAAATTCATACTTTTGTCTTAATTCTATGCACTGATGCAATAAAAGCATGAATGAAAAACGTTGATGCCGTGCAAAGCATCCAATGAGACCATAGCTGTCACTTCTAGTGGAGCTCAGAGAATGGAAGCAATCTGATTGGTTGTTATGGGGAGCGCCTGAATTTACAAAAATCAGCCGCACTGACATTTTCGGCATTTGTTGTCACTTAAGGGCATAATGGTGTTAGACTTCTGTTCCTTCCAGGGCACGGCTCATGTGCACACTCTTTTCAGAAAAACAATCGTACGATTTGACCATCATTGAGTTGAAAATCGGTCGTTTTTCATGAATTTTCCAACATGCCCGATCACTGAAAAGGGGAGTGTGATGGGAGTGACGATTGGGGGTGGGGGGACCCCTGTTCCAGCTTCCCAAATCCCTCTTATGTGTAAAGCACCCTGTGCCTGTTAGGGGACAGAGTGAAATGTTCTAATATTGGTGTGGGGATTGTTCCATGTTCTCTGCCATGCGGCTGCATCCCATTGTTCTAGCAATCTATAATGGGATGTAATGTTTGTGTATTAGTGTGGGGGTTGTTCATTGTTCACTGCCATGTGCTGCATCCCTTTGTTCTATTGTGTGTCTTGGTTTGGTGGGGGGTGTTTCCGGAAGCCCTTCCCCCTGAGGGGACGGCTTGCTGATGTGTTTCCTGTTTCTGGTTGTATTTCCCCGCCCTGTGTATATATCTTGTGTTTGTGTTAAAATAAAGCAGTTGACTTCCTGTCTTAAGAAGAGTCGGGTGCTGTCTATTTCCTGTATGGTCAGCGGTGGTGTCCGGGGATCTGTGTTCGGACAGGGAAGCGAGAGTCTAACGGAAATACCCTAGCGCAGTCGGGGTCCGGTTCCGTTACAGGGAGGAACCACGAAAATCGTCTGGTACCATTGACCCACTAACAGAGCTAAAATCGGCCGATTATTCTTAGGTCCGAAAAATCTGTCATATTTCGACCCATGTATGTATGCATTACTTTCTGTTCTGGTGGCTGCACAGGAAGTGAGGATATATGTAGAATGGACACATAGATGGTAATAAAGCCTTTGAAGGGATTCTCTACTCTCTACCTTAAAAAAACAATGTTTTAACACCATCTGTTACACCTCTAGAGATTGAAAGGTACAGAAACAAGGAGGTTCCCCAGGGAGAAACAGGGAGGTTCCCCAGGGAGAAACAGGGAGGTTCCCCACCCTGTCCCTAACGAATACATTCTGACTGCAGTTGTACTGTTTCCTCTCCACTTTCATATCCTCCAAAAAGTTTTAATTTGAATTTATACAATGAGCTGGGAAAAGCGCTAAAAGGTATTTAAACAAGCTTTGTTTCTGCAATGTAGGAAAATATAAACCATCTATAAAGTTAGCAGACAAAGCGATCTTCCCCTCCCATACCCACCATCTGGCTTGCATTCCATCTGGTTTTTGTAAAACATCAGATTGGGCATCTCATCCTGCAGGAAAAGGGCAGAAAGAGAGTTTAAGAACTGAAAAACAGCACTAAAAACTCTTCGGGCTCATGTAGATGGGGCGTTTGGAAAACTCTTCTAAACGATTGAAACTGCTGGAAAACGTAGGTTAAAAAACGTCAGTTTAGCTGTGTTTGTATACCGCGTTTATGAGCGTTTACATTTAGAAGCGTTTTTAAAAGATAACCTCAGGAGACCTTCCCAAATGCCCAGAATGCACTGAAAAACAGTAAATAATTAACTATTTCAGACATTTTGAGAGAAATAGAGAGAGCAACAGCAGAGAGAGCAGTATGTGTTGAGATGACCTGTCTTTTCTGGTTGTATTCACTATGGATCCCATCATGAGCATAAATGCAGCACGTTCTACCATTTGTGCCTTCACGCAAAACTTGGAACTGACTGCGCTGGTGTACCGGGTCCATTTGAATACATGGAAAACGCTTTGCATGCATTTCTGATGATGAAAAAAGGCTCTGGACAGCATCTGGACATGGAACAGTAAAAAAAAACGCTTCTAAACGCAAACGCTTATAAACGTGTTTACAAGCGTTTGAAACGCAGGTATAATCTACTAGTTTGGTGCGTTCAAAAAAACGACTGTAAACTCAACTGCCTGTAAACGACTGTAAACGACGATGTGTACATGGACACACAGGAAAACATTAGGGAGAGTTCAGGGGCTGCTGAAAAAAATGCAGAAAAGCTCCTGAACGTCCGTTTAGGAGCTGCAGTGTACAAGAGCCCCTTATGGAATACAACACAGACACAGAAATCTAAGCTGTAACGAAGAACAAAAACAAAAGCGCACCAACCTTGTGCATTACCTCAGTAAGGGCTCGTTCACACTTGACTGTTTTACCAACGCTTGCCAAACGCCCCTATAGCGTATGGCAAGCGTTGGTCCGGCGTTTGCAGAGCGTTTTTCAACGCTTGGCAAACGCTCGGCAAACGCCGCATGCGCGGTTTAGCGGCGGTTGCTAGGCGTTTGCAGAGTGTTAAAAACGCCCCACAAACGCCTATAATGAAGTTTAAATGGTGTTACTGCTCCGCAACCGCGCCGCAAACGCCGGCTGGGCATTTGTGGAGTGGCACCATAGACAAGAATAGGAGGCTTCAACGCCTCCTGACTTGACCAGAGGCGTCCGTTTTGCCGCACCACGACACGCCGCGCGACGCTACCGCTCCCGTTAGAACAGCACCATGTGCTGCAATGGGCAGAATTGTCCGAGGCGTTTGGGAAGCGGTAAAAAACGCTTCCCAAACGCCTCTCTGCCGTCTGAACACAACGCTAGTGTGAACGTAGCCTAAGAAAAGCATAAATTTATTGACTTGAGATATATACTTACAAAAGTAGCAATAATAAAAGCATATAAAATCCAACATCAGCGCGCTGGAATAGCAGACACGTGCGGATCCCATCGAGAGGGGTGATCCTGATTAAGCTGACACGTTTCGAAGGGGGATCCCTTCTTCCTCAGAGCTCTGAGGAAGAAGGGATCCCCCCTTTGAAAAGCGTCAATATGAGGATTTCAGTATGAGGATATTGAAATGAAAGCCACTAGTTTTTTATTGCAAAGTAACAAAACAAAAGAAGATTGAATTTGTTTTAACTGAACAAGTCCCATACCCATCTGTTTCTGGAGAGAAGATTCAAACAAGCTTACCGGGCTATCCTGGTAATTCGACATTAAAGGCTGGAATCGGTGTCTGTAGGCCTGCATATCCTGCGCAGCTTCAGAATACATATACTGTAAAGAAGAGAAAGAACACTCACAAAGGGATTACTTTAGAATCGGTTTTTAATGTGCACACTAAAGGCCTCGTACACAACGGGCCCCGCTGCATGAGGTTCCGGTGTTTAGCTGTAGCTGGAGGGCACAGGCACACTGTCCAACCCCACTGCTGGCAGCCTGTCAATGTCTGCGGGATTCTGACAGCTAGGTGCTGCACTTAGTGGTGCTTCTATTTAGGGCAGTATGTGCCCAGCCCAGCAGTATGCATTCCAGCCATTCATCCCTAGGCACATACTGACCTAAACTGACCGTGAGATGCACCATCCAGCCCAGTCCAGCCACAGCAGCTGTCAGATCCTCATAGAGGTTGACAGGCTGCTGGCACTGGGGCTGGACGGTGGCATCTGTGCCCTCTAACTACACAACACCTAACTCCAACACAAACCGTTTATAGGATGGGGAAGAATTAAAATTTCTGTTACACCGGAGGGATATTACCTCTCATCCATTCAATGTCTTGTGTACATGGTACCTGACTGAAAGGAGAAGCAGCAGACTGAAAAGTCATCTCTCTGCTCTCTCTTCCTATCAACATGTCCCTTGAGAACAGAGTGATTTGTCAGCTCCCAAGCAGCATCCTGAAGAGCTCATGGATTTGTCACTGTGCTCTGACTCCTCCTATCAACATGTCCCTTGAGAACAGAGTGACAGCTCCCAAGCAGCATACTGAAGAGCTCATCAATTTGTCACTCTGCTCTCTCCTCCTATCAACATGTCCCTTGAGAACAGAATGACAGCTCCCAAGCAGCATACTGAAGAGCTCATCGATTTGTCACTATGCTCTCTCCTCATATCAACGTGTCCCTTGAGAACAGAGTAGTTTAGTTGTTCCTACTATCTAGGCCAGTGTTTCTCAAACTTTTTTTAGTCAAGGCACCCTTTAAAATTATGGACAGTCCCGAGGCACCCTTTATAATTATGGAAAGTCTTGAGGCACCCTTTATAATTATGGAAAGTCTTGAGGCACCCTTTAAAATATGGAAAGTCTTGAGGCACCCTTTAAATTATAATGGAAATTATGTCTTGAGGCACCCTTTATAATTATGGAAAGTCACCCCTTTAAAAAAGTAACCCTTTATAATTATGGAAAGTCTTGAGGCACCCTTTATAATTATGGAAAATTATGGACAGTCTTGAGGCAAACCATTCTAAAATGCAAAAAACTATTTTAATAGTTTTCTATAATGAAGCAACATCCACACATGTAGAACAACCAACATTAGAGGGGATTTATTCTTCCAAATCAAATACACTTTTTCACACTGGTACTGACTAGTATTCCCATGTTTCTCTTCTCCCTCAGTTTTTCTCCATCACTGAGCTAATGTTACCCCAGCACTGATGAAGGGGGGCAGAGGAGGGTCAAATAGGATGCTGTGCAAGCAACTGACTTCCCCCCTTATTAACTGATGAAGTCATTGGTTGTCAGGACGCCAGCGGCTAGAAGGTGGTAATGGCGCACAATGAAAACCCGTAGCTTTGTGTAACTAAAAGGCAGGCTTGTTCCACCTGTTGGCTTGTATACAAGTTTTCTGTAACTTTTAGACATTTTTGCCAAGGCACCCCTGAAGAAACCTCAAGGCACCCTGGTTGAGAAAGGCTGATCTAGAGACATCGAATTACCTTGTATTCTTTACGCTTTTTTTCCGTGTTTCTGGGTATCTCTTGTGCCTAAGGTACAAATAAAAACATTTTTTTAAAATCATCTCTCTTTTTTTGGTTTTAAACATATGGTTTTTCAACAGACAGATAAACAAACGCACAAAATGTGCGCAACACACTACAATGTTACAAAGACAATGGTCATACAGGGATAAACCCACAACAATCTGTAAACACACCATATGGACATATATCCTACAACAATAAACCCAGTAAACCAGCACAGGTTGACCCAATACCACTTCCCATTCCCATTGTATCCAGCTGCACCTGTCCACTATCCAAACAAATAAATTCCAGCCATTACACTTTACAATTAAGGGTCTCACCCAATTATAGGGAAAGCAATCTATATCTCTGTCCCAAATTACATCACCAATCTTGTCTCCAAATATCACCCAAACCGTACTCTCCGCTCCTCGCACGACCTCCTGCTCTCTAGCTCCCTTGTCTCCACCTCCCATGCTCATCTCCAGGACTTCTCCAGAGCTTCGCCCATCCTCTGGAACTTTCTACCCCAATCTATCAGACTATCGCCTACTCTGCTCACTTTTAGGCAATCTCTGAAAACTTATCTCTTCAGGGAAGCCTATCCTGCCCTCAGCTGATAATGGAATCTTCTACTCCTCCTACCAGTCCATCCTACACAGTTATTACCTTTTGTAGCACTAGCCCCTCCCTCTTAGATTGTAAACTGCAGGATCAGGGCCTCCTATCCCTCTTGTATTGAACTGTATTGTTGCTGTATTGTCTCTCCCGTTCTATTGTAAAGCGCTGTTGGCACTATATAAATCCTGCATAATAATAATAATAGATCTTACTAATGATTTGTACCGGGGGAGGGGGGGGGAAATGATATCTCTCTCTGGAGTCTATACTTCTTTTAATACAAGAGAGGATTTTACTCGCTATAGAAACCGCAGCTTGGCATTGCATGCCATTATTAAGCTTGTGATCTACCAGAACCCCCAGATCCTTCTCCACCATTGATTCCCCCAAATCCTTCTCCACCAGTGATTCCCCCAGATCCTTCTCCACCATTGATTCCCCCAGATCCTTCTCCACAATTTATTCCCCCAGATCCTTCTCCACCATTGATTCCCCCAAATCCTTCTCCACCATTGATTCCCCCAGATCCTTCTCCACCATTGATTCCCCCAGATCCTTTTCCATCATTGATTCCCCCAGATCCTTCTCCACCATTGATTCCCCCAGATCCTTCTCCACCATTGATCCCCCAGGTCCTTCTCCACCCTTGATTCCCCCAGATCCTTCTCCATCATTGATTCCCCCAGATCCTTCTCCACCATAGATTCCCCAGATCCTTTCCATCATTGATTCCCCCAGATCCTTCTCCACCATTGATTCCCCCAGATCCTTCTCCACCATTGATTCCCCCAGGTCCTCTCCACCCTTGATTCCCCCAGATTCCTTCCCCATTGATTCCCCAGATCCTTCTCCACCATAGATTCCCCCAGATCCTTTTCCATCATTGATTCCCCCAGATCCTTCTCCACCATTGATTCCCCCAGATCCTTCTCCACCATTGACCACCCAGGTCCCTTCCCCCTTGATTCCCCCAGATCCTTCTCCACCGTTGACCCCCCCAGATCTTTCTCCACCACTGATTCCCCCAGATCCTTCTCCATCATTGATTCCCCCAGATCATTCTCCACCACTGATTCTCCCAGTTGCACTCCCCCTAGTACTAGGCATAGTGGGGAAAATCTTACTATGGGGACTTGTTCCACTGACAATGGTCTAAGAGAAGATTGTGCTTACTTTGGAGACTCCACTCATTTCCTGTTGAGTCTCAAGACAGGAAATGAAGACAAATCTCCCCCATGAAACACAGCAAAGAAAAAAAACAGGCTTGTCAATGGTTTTAATCATTCCCTACTGTATAGAAAACAAGAAAAAAAAAGTTTTGACTTTAGATGCACTTAAATCACTATTTATGATGCTTTGGTATTTTATAGTCTTCGAAGAATATACAGACGGCTACCACATGTGCTGACACGTCACTATTATTATTATACTGGCTTTATATAGTGCCAATCAGGGGCAGACTGAAAACTCATGGGGCCCCTGGGCAATAGGGGATCATGGGGCCCCTGTGTCCTTGCCCACACTCAAACCACACCCAAAAAAGCCTATGAAAGGTACCAGGGGGGGTCTCCTACTGACCCCAGGCCCTCGGGCAGTGCTCAAGCTCCCGAATGGTCAGTCCACCCCTGGTGCCAACAATTTATGCGGCGCATTACAACATAAGGGCAGACAGTACATTTACAATACCAATAAAGACAGGAGGATTCAGAGGGGCTCGTTAGAGTAAGGGATGGTTAACACTAGAATGCAGAGCGGGAGAGGCGTACTCCATGCACATTTTCCATACCACACATGAATGCGCTGTCCTTGCGAGATGCGTATGGGTGGTAATTCATTATTAATGGGACACCCCAAATGCATTGCAAATGCGGTGTGTTTGCAGCCAACAAATCACACGGTACCGCAGTACCAGGCAGCTTAGTGCAGCATGAATTGTTAAGAGTAGCGCTTGCACTACTTTTTCTACGTTCTCTTGCGTTTGGCAGTACCTTCAAATGAATGGGGGAAGAAAGACAGATTACAGTAACAGCCCCAGTGTACTTTAGAACTAACATTTTCAGAGTGACTTTTACATTACCTTGGGATAGATCGCATCTGTGCTACTCGCTGAAGGCTGCTCTGTCACCACACTACTATCATCATCTTCATCCTCCTCCCAGGTTGAGTCGTAAGAAGTCGAAGAAGAAAGAGAGCCACCCATTCTGTGACTTAAAACACATTAAACTTAATATGATAAAGAATTATACAAAAGAGACTTTAATAGTCTTTTTCAAGTACAGTTGTGCTCAAAAGTTTGCATACCCTGGCACAAATTGTGCAGTTTTGGCATTGATATTGAAAATATGACTGATCATGCAAAAAATGCTCTTTTATTGAAGAATGATGATCATATGAAGCCATTTACTATCAAATAGTTGTTAAAATGCCAATTAGAGGTTAATGTCCCACATCTGTGATATTCAAGGCTTTGGACATCTTTTTATGTCTTTTTCCATCTTTATAAAGTTCCATTACCTTGTTACGCAGGACTTTTGACAGTTCTTTTCTGATCCTCATGGCTCAATATCTAGCCTAGTCAGTGCGTCCATGTAGAGCTAACAAACTCATTGACTATTTATACACTGACACTAATTGCAATTTAAAAAGCCACAGATGTGGGACATTAACCTCTAATTGGCATTGTAACCCGTGTGTGTCACCTTGTGTGTCTGTACCAAGGCTGAACATTCCAGGGGAGCGAACTTTTGATCCGGGCCATTTGGGTGATTTCTGTTATCATGATTTAAAAAGGAGCCAAACAAATATTTGATAAGAAATGGCTTCATATGATCCTCATCCTACAAGAAAAGAGCATTTTTTGGTATGATCAGTCATATTTTTCAATGTCAATGCCAAAATTTCACAATTTGTGCCGGGGTATGCAAACCTTTGAGCACAACTGTATTTATGCAAAACCTTCCCATGTCCATTGAGACAGAATTATTTAAAGCAGAACTCCAGGCAAACAAATAATTACGCAGATGAAATGCATGTATGGAAGCTGGTTTACCAGCCAAGGATTAGCATTTCTGCCCATTCAGTGCTGAGATTTACACAGCTCTGCCATGCAGCATAGCCCGACAATTTTTCCCTTCCGCGGTCAAGTGACACTTACAGGTCTTTTCCCTCCCCCAGCCTGTGTCTGGACAGTGATGAAGAAGCAGCAGTAAGCAACACTGCGTACTCTGTTAGCTGCCATGTTTGGCAAACTCAGGCACTAAAATGACAAATGGCAATTTCTGTTCATTAAGGATTATTGGACAGAAAACTTTACTTCAACATTCCTTACATCATCAGCATTCATTGATTCTTTGATAAAAAAAAAAAATGCAGAAAACTTGTTTTAAAAAGTCTAACTACAACCACATTCATTCCCTTGCTCTATCTTTATTTGAATAAAAGAATATACTTTATATATATATATATATATATATGCCCAGAGGTGTCCCTAGAGTTGGTGTCACCCGGTGCGGGCCACACCCCCCGCACCTGCCTCAGGACGCCACCGTATATCCGTATATGCCTCATTTACATGGGTATCTGAAATAAGGACAATTTTTTCACCCTTGGAAGCCAAATAGCTGCAATGGGTAATACAAAATACAGGATATATGTAGCTGATCTTAAAACTGCTCTCTCCCCGTCCTAACAAATATACTAACCTGTGGAAGAAAGATCTGTAACCTAACTTGTTTTCGAGCCGTTCTGGTTTGGTCATGTGATCTTCTCTTTGTCAGTCAGCACCTGCTGCAGGGAAGAGGAGGGAGTGCCAACGATTTTTGGAATGCCTGAGCAGAGACCAGGGCCGTGGATAAGGGGGCACCACCAGTCCTCCTGTACGGGACCAAGGCAGCTGGGTGAATCGGATGTGGGCAGGGAGAATGATTGGTGTGATGAGGGTGCAATTACTGGAACCGATCCCCTGTATAGCTCTCTCTGCAGTAGCTGTAAGCTGCCTTCAGCTGCTGCAGAGAGAGCCATACACGAGATTGGTTCCAGTAATAGCCCCCCGTCGCACCTTATCACCTTCCCTGTGCACCATACGTTTCCCCATGCTGCTCAGGCCCCCTCTGTGCCCCCACCCCCCGCAGTGCTGCCGGCTATCCTCCCCTCCTTACTACCAGCAGCTGCAAGAACACAATAGGATCCTTGCTATCCTCCCCTCCTTACTACCAGCAGCTGCAAGAACAAAATAGGATCCTTCTGCTATCCTCCTCTCCCTACTACCAGCAGCTGCAAGAACACAATAGGATCCTTGCTATCCTCCCCTCCTTACTACCAGCAGCTGCAAGAACACAATAGGATCCTTGCTATCCTCCCCTCCTTACTACCAGAAGCTGCAAGAACACAATAGGATCCTTCTGGATGGAGAGTGGGGGAAGGGTCCGGTAAATATGTCACATTTTACCAGCCCCTTTCTTTCCTGGATGAACACAATGAGTGATCAGTACCAATCTTTTCATAACCAAAGCATAGTAAACTGTTTTTTTTTTGGGGGGGGGGGGGCTGTCAGGTTGGTTGTATGGGATCCTGTGGTTTCTAACAGCAGCCCTGGCAGAGACTTACTAGGTTTACTATGGCACATGCCTTGTTGACACTTCCTCCTCTTGCCTGAAGCCACTGCTAGCTGGCATAGGGTAATGGATCATATGACCGGACCGGAGCAGCCTGAAAATAGGTATGAATACAGATCTATCTTACTATAGGTGTTAGATGGGAGAAGCTTGAAGATCAAGTCGGTATATCCCAGAATACGACTTGACACTTGTGGAATAGGAGTTGTCCAGTTTGCAGTCGCTGGGACACTACAATCATTAAGACTGTCGAACTTCTTATGAATTTACAAAAACAGGAGCACTCAGAATCTGAAGCAGCTGTGAAAGGTAGCCAATCAGCTTCTAACTTCAGCTGGTTCAGTTAAGTTTTGTAAATAAAACCTGGAAGCTGATTGGTTGCTGTGCCGAGCTGCACCAGATTTGACACACTTCAGTTGTAGTAAATCCCCTGAATGTGTAGTAGCAGAAGACGTTCAAGGAAAGCAGGTGGGAGGAGAGGTAAGCCAATCCAGAAAGACCCCGGAAGGGAAACATGCTCACCCGCAGTCCGGTGACACTCGTGACAACAAAAGTTACCAGAAGTTCTCTTACCCAAATATAGCCGACAAAATCAGGGCGGAGGTCAGGCAAGCAAGTCCGTTTAGGGAAGTGTGGGTGACACTGTTACTTTCACTTTCTTTTCAAGCTTCTGTCCTCTCACTGCTGAAGGCAACATCTGTTTATTTATTTATGCACATTCCAGGCCTAGGAATTCCTTAAAACCACCCAAACCAGGATATATTTTCTGAAAGCAGAGACCCTGTAGAATAAAATAGTGTCAGCTGCAATTTTATTTACCGTATTTTTCACCCCATAAGATGCACCTGACCATAAGACGCACCTAGATTTTAGAGGAGGAAAACAAGAAAAAAAATATTCTGAACCAATGGACTGCAGACATAGTACAGGAGATGACCAGAATCTGCAGACACAGTACAGGAGATGACCAGAGGCTGCGGATACAGTACAGGAGATGACCAGAAACTGGGGCACAGTACAGGAGATGACCAGAGATGCGGAGACGGTACAGGAGATGACTAGAGACTGCGGACAGTACAGGGATGACCAGAGACTGCGGACACAGTACAGGAGACGACCAGAGACTGCGGACACAGTACAGGAGATGACCAGAGACTGCGGACACAGTACAGGAGATGATCAGAGACTGCGGACACAGTACAGGAGATGATCAGAGACTGCGGACACAGTACAGGAGATGATCAGAGACTGCGGACACAGGAGATGATCAGAGACTGCGACACAGTACAGGAGATGACCAGAGACTGCAGATATAGTACAGGAGATGGCCAGAGACTGCGGACACTGTACAGGAGATGACCAGAGACTGCGGACACAGTACAGGGGATGACCAGAGACTGCAGACACAGTACAGGAGATGACCAGAGACCGCGGACACAGTACAGGAGATGACCAGAGACTGCGGACACAGTACAGGAGATGATCAGAGACTGCGGACACAGTACAGGAGATGATCAGAGACTGCGGACATAGTACAGGAGATGATCAGAGACTGCGGACACAGTACAGGAGATGACCAGAGACTGCAGATATAGTACAGGAGATGGCCAGAGACTGCGGACACTGTACAGGAGATGACCAGAGACTGCGGACACAGTACAGGGGATGACCAGAGACTGCAGACACAGTACAGGAGATGACCAGAGACCGCGGACGCAGTATAGGATGACCAGAGACTGCGGACATACTACAGGAGATGACCAGAGACTGCAGACATAGTGCAGGGGACGAGAGACTGCAGACATACTACAGGAGATGACCAGAGACTGCAGATATAGTACAGGAGATGGCCAGAGACTGCAGATATAGTAAATATACTGAAAATGGCCAAAATTGTAATATTTCAAATATATGTCAATATATTTGGGAATACATAAAAATCATAACTTTTGCAAGGATGCCAAGTTAGCCCTTTTACATTGCCCTATACTGGGTGTTTTTGCATAGCAACAGAAATTGGCGTTATACCTATTCATCTCTGCCAACCCGACCATTGCCCAGGTCTGGAAAACCCCAACTGTTGCCTTTCATGGCGTGAAAACTCACATGACCACTCTGATGATTAATGAACAGAGGGCTGGTATCTTGAAGGATTCACACTCCAAGGACTGGGAAGCTTGGATTATTTACTCATTCCTCTCCTTGAATCCGGCCAGTTATGGCCGTATACAATTGTTGCCTGCAAAAGTCCGAATCTGTGGTGTTTCCCTTCTTTTTCCTTTTCCATTGCTTGCTTTTCTCTCCTTTTGGGACGACCTTACTACTGCTGAGGACTGTTGAATCTAGACACCATCGCTGGTCCTCCTGCATTTCATTTAATTGATTGTGCTTTCAGATTGACAACATGTACCTATTTTTATGTACAACAGGGTAAGTGTCTCCCATTGGGACTTTAATGCAGCCAATGAATGCAACAATGTATACAAAATATAAATTTTTATTTGTACAAATATAATAAAATTGTTTAATAAAATAAACTTAGAAATCTCTGATTTATACATGCATAGAAGTGTACCCCTACAATCTG